GACAATAACATCACTATTGTTGAGTGTCGTTGCGCAGCTATTATGAGATACGTAATGCCTGCGTCACGACGTGTAATGACAGAGTTATTGTTGTAGGAAGTTAATAGATTATCAACACTGGAAATTCTGGCGCGCAGGAAGGTTCTCGTAGCCGAAGTGTTGTGGATTTCGTCTTGTAACTTGGCGAAACTTGGAACTGGAGTCGCACCGGCTCATCTCAGGATGACTTGACTCGCGCGATCGAGGTACTCGCACGCGATTCTCGTCCTTAGGAGCAGCTTGAACACCACACGACTACACATACACATATACACACACATACAAACACACGTGTACGATACAAGCATACACGTGAGAAACAGACAAATCTGCGTGTACATAGAGTGTGAGTAGCGAACTCAAAGGGTGGCGGAATCGAAGTCCCGCTTCCCAATTCTCTCTGTCAGAGAACATCGGCGTGTATATATAAAAATAAAATAACGTGCGATATGTAGCGATATACATACGCGAATGAAAAATTCCTCTTTTTTTTTTACTTTTCTCGTCGGCACATTCATAAAGAGGTGTCTTGAGAATGCGTCCAGAGTACTCCGCACGGGGTCGACCACCTGCATGGGCGATTTCCTCGTGCCAATTAGACGATAAATTGATATATCACCCTCTTGTAAATCACGCTCATAAGCGAACAGAGCAGACATGGAGGAGAAAAATCAGTGATCACGCTCTGTGCAATAGTGGTCCGACGTCTTCTGCACGGGTATTTAGTGGGAGACCCGTCTGTGTTGGTATAAACAACTGTTCCTGCCGCGTCAAAATTACTATTTAATATAATACATCTGTCGTGCGAATTTTATATATCGCGATCGATTAAAGATGAATTCGAATTAAAAATAAAGCCTAAAACACAGTCAGGATCGTTCGAATTAGAGTTACTCTTCGCAACTGTAACTGCAACCGCAACCGTGTAATGACACCGATCGAAGAAACAAAAACTCGATCAATTTTTTCGGGTCGTCGTCGTTGTAAAGCGATATTCGGGACCACCGTCTGTCACTTTGAGCTCCTCGAGCATGTCCGCTCTCGTTCTTCATCCTCGAGGAAATCGCTCACAGGTGAGCAAACTTGAATACGCTGCAGTGTACAATAGACGTAGAAAAATTCGAGATGGAGGGAGAGAGAGAGAGAGAAGAAGAAAGAAAAGAGAGCGACGACATCCCTCTTTCTCGAGGAAAGTTAACAAGCGGCGACGAAACGAACATTGATTATCGCTCCCTGCCGTGCGCGTGTGAGTATCGTTTAGAAACTAGAATTTTAGGCGGCGTCGAAAGATAGGGCGTGAGAGTGAAAGAGAGAGCGAGAGCGAGAGAGAGAGAGAGAGAGAGAGAGAGAGAGAGAGAGCACGTCGCGTGTATATGTACCTACTTATTCGTTTATAACTCGTTGACGGAAGATCGAGGCTAGTTTGATCGGTGTGTCTATCGTTCGATCCATACGTTACGCGAAAGATAAGTCTGTACATAATGATATAAACGCCGAGGTACACCAGCTCCCTCCCCTCATTTTCTCCTACCCACGATTGTTGTATCATAAATGATAATATACGCATACGGCGCGCGATCGCGGAACGTCAAGCTAACATAAGAGAATTAAGGGACGACAAAAAGGCGAAAAAGGAAAAGAAGAAAGATTTGGAGGCAGTCGAGATTGATAACGGAGAAAAAAATAAAAAAAGAAGAAAAATGAGGACGGTAGAAGGAGTCATGCGAGACACTATGTAACGAAGCGATTATTATCCACGAACACACGCTCTGTTAATTGCGACTAATTAAAACAAAGTAACTGAAAATTAATATAGCGAGCGAGAGCATTACCACGCCTACAGTAAACTACAGATGTAGCATACACGATAATATTATTATCAAAACAGTTCAATGTAAATTGTTATTTTTGTTGAAATAAAAATCACCTCCGTTATAAAATAGCGTGCTTATCTTTAGCGACTCACGATTGATCGACCGCTTTTTAAAAAGAAAGAGTGAAAAAGAGTATTTTCTCAGACGGTCAGTCTATTAAAAACTTTCAAAGAACATCCTATTTTCTTTAAATGTCTTTTGGATGTTTTTAAGACATCTTTTAGTGATTTGTGCTGCCTGGGTTGTTATTACAAAACGGAAATTATGACTGGTACACTTATTTGTCAAACAGTACTATAAAAAGAAAATATCGAGACAACTTGAAGTTGTCGAGTTAAACGAACTCTGTTTCAAGGTTGTATATAACGAATTAACTACCCTACATCATTCATCGGCAAAATCATTCACTTGGCAGCGTTAGGGCTATCGCACATGAAATAATATAATTGCATAAAATCGTATGGATCAATGAGTAACGAATAAGCATCGAGCATCAATGTGGCGACTTAATACTCGATACTCATTGATCCATACAATCGTATACTATACATATGCAGCTATGCCATTGTATGTGCGATGGCCTTTACTGTTACTCAATATTTGTTGGATAAATGTTAAGTTTCATTGAATGAAAACGTAAAAAAAATAAGTGGACATTAACTTTTATAAAATGATATTTTTATTCTCGCTTAACTTAATGTAAATTTCCAAAATAGAATAGAATAATAAATTTATTCTATTAGAAGAATAAAATATATAATAAATAAGAGTAATATAGAATAAAGTAAATATAAAATAGAGAGAATAGAACAGAATATGGAATAAATATATAAAATATATAAAATAAAAGAAAATTGAAGAAAACTTAATATATCACAGAGTAGAAGGTACCTCAGACAGTTCAAACTACTATCAGTACCACTAATTACCAGAGGCTTTTAGCTTTCTCATAAGCGTCGGCAGTATTTATCGGTAAAGATTAACATATATGAAGATAAAACTTCGCCTAACGGCGGTACATCGGCTCGATGTGCAAACTAGTGATAATTTATTAGAAACTTTATTTATTAGAAAATTTAATTTATTAGAAACCTATGACACCAGTCTTCTATGATAAACGTCCTATCTCCTACATTCACGTCCACCTGTTGAAGAGGGACTCGCAGATGTGGATGGATCATGCCAATTTCTGGTGCATATGCACCTGCCATCATAAAATTATGATTGATCGTGAGCTCCCAACCATTCGGAGGTAATCCATCAACATAAGTGTAACATAAGCCGCGAGCACGCTGAGTTCTTTGTCGTCGTAAAGCGAACAATATGGCTTGAGCTATAGTAGTTTCTTCAAATGAATAAGGGCTATATAACGTAAATGGCTGTGAACTGAGGTAGCTTTGATTCTGTTTGCCATCTCTAGCCGTCATGACCCGAGCGTAAACTAAGCCAGTATGCACAGATTTTCGCTGTATTTTGTGATAGTGCACCATCGAGATGGATTCTGAATTAGACAGTTCGTGTAAAACATCATACATCAAATTAGGAACAAGTTGTAACCGGCCTGTCATGTTATCTTTATTAGGGAACCTGTAGTTTCGCAATTTCGATAGTGCCTCATATGGAATATTTTCGTACCTGGAATATCCAAGTAGATTCATGTTGGGAATGGTATCTTGTGGAAAATGCCCGACAGGTAATGGCATAAATTGGCCGTCGTTTTCGATGGTCGTCTCAACAAACCGACGTGTTATATATGGAGATACGTAACATTCGTAAGCATTATGCGAATCGGCTGTTATGCTTCCAAAACTTCCTGGCGGTATCTCTGGAAGCTCACCAACGGCAGGAATAGTCATCTGTGGCAGACAGCAATCCGGAACATTAACATAGACAGTATCTCCTGACGGTGTAATTACTGTGTTAATTGTCGCGAGATATTCCGCTATAGGTTCCGGAACGAGCATATCCTGTGGAATTAGCGATGCGGCATTTTTCTCGTTACTATAGCGATCTTCATTGTTAATAACAGTCACCGTTTCGAACAACCAAGCGTTCAAGCAAGTGGTCATAGCATGCATGAATGAACAGAATGGCATGTGCTTGCTAATCTTTACATGTGTACTTCTTATTGATTCATAAACAGTTCTACAAAGTAGAGGAAACGAGCTAAAGTCTAGATTGTACGAGTATAAGTAGTTGATCGGTCTAGAACTGGTCACATATTGTTTTTTCTGGTTCTGTGATTTCATCATGATAGGTGACCTGACATATATACTGACTGTGCTAAAAACAAGACTTTTTATAGTTTGCAAACTGCTTCCCAAATTTTCTGTAAAAGTAACGCAAGCTGCTTCGGTCGGAATAAGTAATCCGTCAGAGCCTAGTTATTATTTTGCCTTGTTATTATCTTTTCGTTGGTATCTTCGCTACGACACTGCGTAAAAACAATAAACTCAATATAACGGTTATCATTTTACTAAAGTCATATAAAATTGTCAATAAATTACCCGTGTTCCAGTTTTGGCTTCTCCTATAACCCACTGAGTTATTCCCCGTAGAACTATTATGTATAATTATAGTTATGTATAACCTATGAAAATACGTGGTAAATCTCTTCGTGAAATAAATACGCAATCTATTAGCTTCTACACATTGAACGCGGAATCGATTGCCACGCGACAAGTAGCGACATGGTAGACAGTCAATATAATATCTTCCGTAAGAACTAGAAATTCATTGGCTACCGCATCGTTTCTAGTCGAATGGCGAACGCCCTTGAGTATTATGTTCTGAATATATATATGAGCATTCAGCAGTACAACCGCTTTCAGAGCACGTCTTGAGTTCTTACGTTTGGTTGGTGTATACTTCTAAAGTTAATCTAGATCTACAAGTACAAACCAAACGAATTTAAGAGAACACTGAGAGTTTATAAACTCTATTCTGTATTGGTATGTAATCTGTAATGCTTAGTGTCTGGACACGAATAGGAAAGAGGTAAATGTATTTAAAGACCACCTCGTTTTCTGAAATTTAATAGGTTGATGGTTTTCTATGATCCTTGTTACAAATAACAAAAATAGAAGAATAGAGAATGAACCCACAATTTTGTTTTTATGGTCTCGTTTTTTCTTGTCTTGTCTTAACATTCTAGTATAGTATATAATTCACTTAGCTAAGTTGACACTTCTTCTCAAAACTAATAATAGAAAAATATGTAGGTATAAATAGTTGAGCTAACATAATCTGTCTGCAAATATAAAGCTTTAAAGTTTAGGTTGCGTTTAGCATACACAATATTTGTTACACAAATAACACAACTGTTTTAAAACAACTGTTAAATGAAAATTATCTCTTGAAACATAAATCTATAACGCACGTTCTTCTTCCACAAGTTTATGAATCAATATTTGTGTTTTTGTTGAACACAACTGTTAGTACTGTGTGTATTCGAGAAATTGTCCACTCTATATTATATGAAGTTTATGTTCGCTCCTATTGAATAACAGACGCAAGACACATTGAGTCAAGAGTAAACGAATTATTTTATAAAAGATAGAACATCGATGTCTATACGATTCTGTAGTATCACACGAGAAGAAAGTGTTTACAGATAGTAATAATATATAACATTTTCTATAAAACTTCTCTGAAAGATAACTCAGCCGGTTGTCACTGAAAAAACTGGTATTGAAATCGAGATAATTTCTTGATGATTTTATACGAATTTATGTGTGATAATCACTATATAAACAATTTGTTTCCCATAGCAACTAGCTGATCACTCAAACGCTAGTGATATGTCGAGGCAATTTATAACGTCCAACGAAATATGTAATTTCCATATAAAAGTGGAAAGGCAAGCAAAGAGATGTAGAAAATATGGCATTTGTAACAAACAAGGTACTTCAGGGCTGTCGACAACCATAAACGAATCACGGTATGAAAATCTATTTACCATTAAAAAATCTATACCCGTTCAGTCCTCGTATTCATATAATCTGGATTTTTCCATATTTCCTATGCTTTGTGAAAAAGTTTACTCTAAATTGAAAACAGGACTATTAGATGAAAATGTCTGGGAAGTTATGCCATTCTGTTCGTTCATGCATGCTATGACATCTTGTCTCAACGCTTGGTTATTTAACACAGTAACTTCCATCAATCAAGAAAACCGATATAATGACGAGGAAAATGCCATGTTATTAATTCAGGGCAATATGCTCATACCGCAACCAATAGCGGAATATTTCTCGATGATTAATACAACGACTACGCCATCGGGTGAGAATGTCTACGTTAATCTTCCGGATTGTTGCCTGCCACAATTATCTATTCCGGCTATTGGTAACATTCCAAGGATATCGCCGGGAAGCTTTGGAAGTATAACTCCCGATTCCCATAATGCCTACGAATGTTACGTATCTCCATATATAACACGTCGGTTAGTTGAGGCATCCCGTGATGGGGATATAGGATATGATCCACTACCTACGGGGCATTATCCACAAAATGCCATTCCAAATATGAATATGCTTGGATTTTTCAACCTTGATGCACTTACAGACGACGAACAACTAAAAGTGGATAACTACCATTTCCCCGAGGAAGATAACATGACTGGCCGATTACAACTTGTACCAAGACTGATGGATGATGTTAATAATACATTGCAGTCATTTCATTCTTACTATAAGATGGTACCTTATCACAATATTCAGCGAAAATCCGTGCAATACAATTTGATTTACAATCGGTACAACGAGGATCCAAATATTGAAATTGAAGTCTCAGATACTGAGGATATGTTATGTAGTCCTTATTCTTTTGACGAAACAGCTGCAACGAAAGCCGCAATGTTCGCTTTCCGACGGGAAAGGACCGACCAAGCTCGTGGAATATGTTATACCACAGATGATGATGTAGATCCGAATGATTGGGCCGCCACGATCAATTATAATTTTACAATGACAGGAATGTTTGCGCCACTAATTGGTATTGACTATCCTCAACTACGACACGCTATTCATACAGCGGATATGTTGACCAGGAGGTCGGAAGTAATAGATAGTTTGATCGAAGCCAGCGCACAAGACAATTCGTATAGCTATTCATAGTTCAGCCTAATACCATCTTTCAGCGACACCATATCTGCGTAATTGTTATTTATTGTGTTGATGAATATTACTATTTCTGTGTAAGAGAAAAAAAAACGTCATAAAAAGACGTTCTTCAAAGTAACTAGAACTTAGAACTGGATCTTAGAAAGTTTCCGTTCTGTGATTTTTTATTTGAATTTGTTGCATCATATGCATTGAGTTAAGAATAAAGTGCATATTCTATAATATAAAAAACATTTTATTACCCGCACAATTTTTTGATATTTTCGCTTCTCAAGAAGTAAACGTTTACCCGGAGCCATATACAAAGTGTCGGATAATATCATATATTTGTTTCGTGAACGTGACATAGCAACAAGCAGCGAAATAGCAGACAGTCAATGTGCCACTTTTCGTAAGAACTAGAAATTCATTGGCTACTGCATCGCTTCTAATGGTGGCAAGCGCCTTTTGTGTGATAAATATATATGTGATATACATTCAGTAATATATCCGTTCCTAGAGCATGTGTGAGCTCTTATATTTGGTTGGTGTTTACTTCTAGAGTTAACCCAAATCTACAAGTATAAACCAAACGAATCTAAAAGATCACCGAGAGTTAGCGAATTCTATACTATACTGGCATGTGATCTGCAGTACTTAATGCTTGGACACGAAAAAAAGAGAGGCAGATACTTTTAAAGACTATCTCTCTCTCTGTTTACTGAAACTTGATAAGTTGATAGTTTTCAATGATTTTTGCTGCAAATAATAAGAATAGAAAAGTAGAGAATAAACACACTCTTCTGTCCCTGTGGACTCGTTTTTCCTTGTTTGATTTCATATTCCAGCATAATATATAGTTCACTTGGTTAAGTTCTTCTTCTTAAAACTTATAGGAAAATATTTAAATATGAATGCCCAAGCCAACATAATCTGACTGTAAATATAAGGCTTTAATGGTTGCGTTTAACGTATACAATATTTTTGGAATTGTTGAACGAAAATTATTTCTTGGAGCATACATTTAGATCTACAACGCACATTCTTCTCTCACAAGTTCATAAATCGACATCTGTATTTTCGTTGAACGCAAACGTGAGCAGTGTATATTCGAGTAATTCTCCACTCTATGTCATATAAAGTTTATGTTCTCTTCTATTGAATAATAAACACAAGTGACATTAAGTCAAGAGAAAACGAATTATTTTATAAAAGGTAGAACACGTGGTGTCTACGCGATTCTTTTGTATCATTCAAGAAGAAAGTATTTACAGATAATAATAATATATAATATTTTCTATAAAACTTCTCTGAAAAATAACTTAGCTGGTTGTCACTGAAGAAACTGGTATCGAAACTCAGGTAACTTGTTGACGATTTTATGCGAATTTGTGTGATGATTATTAAGTAGATCATTTGTTTTCCACAGTATCGCAGCTAGCAGATTAGTTAGACGCCAGTGATGTCGAAGCAATTAATAGCGTCAGACGAAATATGTAATTTCCATATAAAACTGGAAAAGCAAGCAAAAAGATGTAGAAAATATGGTATTTGTAATAATCAAGATGCTTCAGGCCACTCGACAAACATAAACGAATCACGATATGATAATCTATTTACAATTAAGAAATCTATACCCGTTCAGCCCTCGTACTCGTACAATCTGGATTTTTCTATATTTCCTTTGCTTTGTTATCAAATTTACCATACATTAACAGAAAAATCATACAAAAATGTTTGGGAAATTATGCCATTCTGTTCGTTTATGCATGCTATGACCACTTGTCTCAATGCTTGGTTATTTAATACAGTAACTTCCATCAATCACGAAAATCGCTATAATGACGAAGAAGATGCTATGTTATTAATTCAGGATAATATGTTAGTACCGCAACCCATAGCGGAATATTTCTCGATGATTAATACAATGACTACGCCATCGGGTGAAACTATCTACGTCAATCTTCCGGATTGTTGCTTGCCACAATTATCTATTCCGGCTATTGGTGACATTCCAAGGATGTCGCCGGGAAGCTTTGGAAGCATAACTCCCGATTCCCATAATGCCTACGAATGTTACGTATCTCCATATATAACACGTCGGTTGGTTGAGGCATCCTGTGATGGGAATATAAGATACGAGCCACTACCTACGGGGCATTATCCACAAAATGCCATTCCAAATATGAATTTGCTTGGATATTTCCACTTTGAAGGACTTACAGACGACGAACGACTAAAAGTGAATAATTATCATTTCCCCGAGGAAGATGACATGACTGGCCGATTACAACTTGTACCAAGATTGATGGATGATGTTAATAATACATTGCAGTCATTTCATTCTTACTATAAGATGGTACCTTATCACAATATTCAGCGAAAATCCGTGCAATACAATTTGATTTACAATCGGTACAACGAGGATCCAAATATTGAAACTATAATCTCAGATGTTATGGATATGTTATGTAGTCCTTATTCTTTTGACGAAACAGCTGCAACGAAAGCCGCAATGTTCGCTTTCCGACGGGAAAGGACCGACCAAGCTCGTGGAATATGTTATACCGCAGATGGTGATATAGAACCGAATGGTTGGGCTGCCACGATCAATGATAACTTTACAATGACAGGAATGTTTGCGCCACTAATTGGTATTGATTATCCTCAACTACGGCACGCTATTCATACGGCGGAAATGTTGACCAGCAGGTTGGATATAATAGATAGTTTGTTTCAGGCTAGCACACAATTCATGTAGCTAACATATCCATAGTTCAGCCCAATATCATTCTCCAGCGAAACCATATCTGCGTAATTGTTATTTATTGTGTTGGTGAATATTACTAATTCTTTTTAAGAGAAAAAAACATCATAAAAAGACGTTCTTTAAAGTAACTGAAACTATTTTAGAAAGTTTCCGTTCTGTGAATTTTTATTTGATTTCGTTGCATCGTATATAATGAGTTATGAATAAAGTGTATATTTTATAAAAGAAAGAACATTTTATTGTCCGCACAATTTTTTGATATTTTTGCTTCTCAAGAAGCAAGCGTTTACCCGGAGTCATATACAAAGTGTCGGATGACACCATATATTTGTTTCGTGAACGCGACATAGCGACAAGCAGCGACATAGTAGATAGTCAATGTGCCATTTTCCATAAAAGCTAGAAATTCATTGGCTACTGTATCGCTTCTAAAGGTGACAAGCGCCTTTTGTGTGTTAAATATATATATATATATATGTGAGCATTCAGTAATACATCCGCTTCTAGAGCTCTTACATTTGGTTGGTGTTTACTTTTAGAGTTAATCCAGATCTACAAGTATAAGCCAAACGAATTTTAAATATCACCGAGAGTTAGCAAATTCTATACTATGTGCATATTGGCATGTAATCTGCAGTGCTTAATGCTTGGACACGAAAAAGAAAGAGGCAGATATTTTTAAAGACTATCTCTTTCTCTGTTTATTGAAACTTGATAAGTTGATAGTTTTCTATGATTTCTGCTGTAAATAACAAGAATGGAAAAGTAGAGAATGAACACACGCTTTTGTTCCTGTGAACTTATTTTTCCTTATTTGATCTCATATTTAAGCATAGTATATAGTTCACTTGGCTAAGTTGGAACTTCTTAAAATATATAGGAAAATATTTAAGTATGAATGTCCGAGCCAACATAATCTGACTGTAAATATAAGGCTTTAATGGTTGTGTTTAGCGTATACAATATTTGTGCAATTGTTGAACGAAAATTATTTTTTAGAGCGTACATTTAAAGTAACTGAAAATTACTTTAAAAATTTTTCTGAAAATGGATGAAAATGCACTAAACAAAATAGAGTATTTCGATTCAACAAGCAATTTAGTACGAAGACAAACACCGTGTGCCGCTGGCTTTAGATCTACAATGCACATTGTTCTTTCACAAGTTTATAAAGCAATATTTGTATTTTTTTTAACGCAACCGTTAGCACTGTGTATTCGAGAAATTGTCGATTCTATGTAATATAAAGTTTATGTTTTCTCCTATCGAATAATAAGCGTAAGAGTTGAGTAAAAAGTAAACGGATTATTTTATAAAAGATAGAACACCAGTGTTTACATGATTCTTTAATATCCTACGAAAAGAAACTGTTTACTGATAGTAGTAATATATAACTTCGGCAAAAGATAACTCTAAGGATTTTTATTGAAGAAAGTGGTATCGAAACCCAAATAATCTCTTGACGATTTTATACGAATTTGTTATGGTGTCATTGTGTGATCATTGGATAGACAATTTGTTTTTTACAATATCGTTACTAGGAAATCAATCAGACACCAGTAACATGTCGAGGCAATTAACAGTGTCCGACGAAACATGTTTTTTCCATATAAAAATGGAAAAGCGAGCAAAGAGATGTAGAAAATATGGCATTTGTAACAATCAAGATGCTTCAGACCCGTCGACGAACATAAACAAATCACGCTATGAAAATCTAAGTATAGCTACGAAATTTACTCCATTGCAGCCTTCATACTCATGGAATCTGGATTTTGGCATTCCCTATGCTTTGTGAACAATTTTACTCAGTATTTTTGAAAGGACGAACATACGAAGATGTCTAGGAAATTATGCCATTTTGTAAATTTTTTCATGCTATGACTATTTGTCTCAACGCTTGCTTATTTAATACAGTAACTTCTATCAGCAAAGAAAATCGCTATAATAACGAGGAAGATGCCATGTCATTAATTCATCAAGATATGCTCATACCGCAACCCATAGCGGAATATTTCTCGATGATTAATACAACGGCATTGGGTGATATTGTCTACGTTAATCTTCCGGATTGTTGCCTGCCACAATTATCTATTCCGGACGTTGGTGACCTACCAAGGATACCGCCGAGAAACTTCGGGAGCGTAACTCCCGATTCGTATAATGCCTACGAATGTTACGTATCCCCATATATAACACGTCGACACATTGAGGCATACCGTGATACGGAATTAATATATGATCCATTACCTATCGAGCATCTTCCACAGGATGCCACTCCAAATAAGAATTTGCTTGGGTATTTTTTCCCTGTGACAATTACGGATGACGAAAGACAAAAAATGTACCACTTCCCCGAGGAAGATAACATGACTGGCCGATTAACTTGTACCGAACTTGTACCGAGACTGATGGAAGATGTTAATGTCACATTGTCGACTTTCAAGCAGTGGTACAAGATAATACCTTATCACAATATTCTGCGAAAATCTGTGCGATACAATTTTATTTATAATCGGCTCCACGAGCATCAAGATATCGACGTTAACCATGAGGTCTTGGAGACTGAGAGTACGTTATATAGTCCTTATTTTTTTGACGAAACTGCCGCAACGAAAGCTGCAATATTCAGCTTACGAAGGGAAAGAACCAATAACGCTCGTGGCTTATGTTTTACCATAGGTGATGGTTTAGATCCGGTTGGTTGGGCCGCCACAATCAATTATAATTTTACAATGTCAGGAAGGTTTGCGCCACTATTTGGCGTTAACTGTTCTCAACTATGGTATGCTACTCATACAGCAGATATGTTGATCAGTAGGTTGGATATAATAGATAATTTCATTGATGCTAGCAAAGTCATATAATAGTACTCATATAATTCGTGTAGTTGATCAAAGTAGAACAAATAGTCAAAATAATATCAATCTGACGTTATTTTTACAAGATATCGATCAAATTTACGTCACTTTTTGGTCAAAATGACGTTAAATTAAGATTATTTTGACTATTCTACCTTGGAACATATCCACAGTTCAGTCCAGTATCATCCTTCAGCGAAACAATATTTTCATAATTGTTTATTGTCAATGAATACTACTAATTCTTCTTAAAAGAAGGCGTCGTAAGATGTTCTCTAAACTGAAACTATTTTAAAAATCTTTATTGATCTTTATCTGATATTCTTTTATGATCTATAATCTATGATTTATTTGATTTTGTGGCATTGTATACATTGAATTAAGAATAAAGTGCATATTTTATAAGAGAAATAACATTTTATTGTCTGTATAATTTTTTAGTATTTTTGCTTTCCAAGAAACAAGTGTTTACCTGGTATCATATACACAAAGTATCATAAACATATATTTATTTTGTGTACACATAGATCAAACCATATTGAACAAAAAATTCCTCTACCTTTTTGCAAATAATCATGTCAAATTTTTAATTATTAAAGCAGATATCGAATAATCGCATATGATACTGTAAATAGAGTAATGTAGAGGTTATACCTGGATTGCACTAATTAGTGTTTCCCATGCATCACTCCTCATTAACTCTCTTGTCATCGCTTAACGCTTGACATTCACTTGCGACAGCAAAAAATGACGTATTCGAGTTTTGTAATATTTGAAAAGGTTATGTTTGAATTAAAAATTGTGAATATTTGAACTGAAAAATTTGATTTCATTGAAGTTGAAAAAAGTACGTTTTGAAAATATTTTAGTACATCTCATGCAATATATATAATTCAAAAAAAGTAGAAGCAATCATTGTAAGTATTGTCATAGACGAAACATGAAATTCTGCCGGCCTCATTTTTTTTCATACGCCAAAGTTCTAAGCAGAGAGAAACCTGGGGTGCAAACCCATGCAGCGGAATAGCAGAGCGCGGAACGAGAGCGGAACCAATCACAAGCGTTCCACAGTTTTCGCTCATGATTGGTTCTGGTCTCGTTCCGTACTCCGATATGTCGCTGCATGGGTTTGCACCTTTAGATATATAACAAGGATAGAATGACACGGTAGCGCTGAATAGCGCTAATAGCGAGCTCCCCGAACGCACTCTATAGATTTTCAGTACTGGTGGTAAATATCGGAACGCAGCGTTAGTATAGATATTTGTAATCTGTGTTCTTGTCAAGACGCGAGACAAATACAACAATCTTAATTTAACTGTCATTTTACAAGAAACTATGACGGATAATAAAAATGACAAGGCGAAAGTCGACCTCGGATTACTCGAGGAAGACGACGAATTTGAAGAGTTCCCCGCTGAAGGTACGTATGTAGCTTTATTAATAGAATACTTTTGCAACTTAACCTCGAAATCGCTGATTCATTTAGATTGGACTGCAAAGGACGAAGATAGTGAGGATATCAGCGTTTGGGAAGACAATTGGGATGATGATGACGTTGAGGACGATTTCAATCAACAGTTGAGGTATTATTTTACCATAAATCCATTTATTGTAAAAGACCCATAGGACCACAAGAGAGTCCGCAAAGTATCTAAACATATAAAACAAGATTGTACTGCCAGAAGAAAACTTAAATAATAATCCTGACTTATTTTACATAGAATTTATAGTATACTGTAATTAATTTCAGAGCACAGCTAGAGAAACAGAAAACTATCAGCGAAGCCAAGGAGAATTAAGTAGATTATAATTTATAATTTCATTATACAAATAAAACATAATTGAATGTTAAGCTGATGTATACACCTACATTTCGTACATACACTATTTTTTGCAATCTTTGGAATGTAATAATGAGAGCTACAGTCTCTATATCTTGTATAACATGCACTGTATGTTTCAAGAACATACATTTTCCTTGTACAAAACTTAGTCGTTACATATAAATGTTATGTTTAGTAAGTCCAGAAACGCATATAGTGCCTTTCCACGAGTGACTCGTTTCATATTATTTGATCGATAGGAGTCATTTGTTTCTAATGGAAAAAATGCTTGGCGTATCTTATTGTAAATGTATAATCAGGTACACAGTCTTCATTTTAAAAAATCTTTCAGTTTTCAAAATGTAAACATATGCTCTACATATGGCACATCAGTTTCCTTTACATAAGTGTTTTGACATAAGTATCTTGATGACTCCCACTATTGAGAAAATAAAATAATATGCGAGCCTTGCAAATTGCACCTAGTTTTCTACCTAAAGGACTAAAAAAAATAGAATCAGTTTGTGACGTCATGATTCGTTTTACAGGAGATCAGCAGTTCAGATACTAGTGCGTCTAACATTTGCATGTTCACATCTATATTGATCTTTTTGATTTCGTACGAACTTAACAGATAGTTCAGAGCTTTGCATGTATCGTCCTCACCGAATATTAACTTTACGCAGTACGAGAGCTTCTCGTTTAATATACGCAGCAACTTGTTCTTCGATTGTGCATCGGGTTGATTTGTGACGTTATGTGGAGTATTGTAAACTAATGAAGAATTGCTCAAGGAGTTAAATAGCCATAGAATAGTTTTCTGTAAGTATATACAAAATTAATAAGAAGCTCAGCAAAAAGAAATACAAGAAATAGAGAAAAACGTTTAGTAACCGGCACTCGTTACAGCATTCACCATTTTTGTTCGAATTTTATTAAATATTAAGATATATGAGAATTTATTAATTATTTATCAATTATTACTTATTTTTATTAATTTTAAATCCTCATACATCTTAATATTTGATAATATCCACGCAAGTGTACTAAAAACTGATAGAATGCTGACTACTGGTCATTTTCCTCTAGTATTTGTCTTCAAAGGCAGGTTCTTACCTGCAGTATTGGCTCTGAGATGTTGCCGATTAATAACTTAACCCATCTAACGACCGCTTCTTGCTGCAACGTGTTGTTACTGGCGATTCCTGCGAGAAGCTCACAAACAAGATCCAGCATTGTACACGTCAGTGTTAAATTTGAATCTAGTTCATCCACTTCATCTGGAAAACATATAATCTTTCGTTATTACGAAATATAACTTGATGGTCGCACTAAAAATCAATATTATTACCGTCGTATGAAGTATTAACGGTTTCCCACCATCTATCCAATGACTCTGAGTCGCCACTGGCTTCCATCGAATCAACCGCCTCGTAGGCTGTATCCACCGTGCAATATTCCGTTCTTTCGGCTATCAATTGTTGGAGTTCGCAAGCCAAACTTTTCTACAATATATTGACATTATAAGATATGTCAATTTTGTAATATGCGCATTTTATATATTATTCTATGTTTTATATATGTGTACTGTGATTATCTATATAATTACTCAATTATTACTATAATTATCTAATTAAATTATAATTATTGAATTAACATGCTTTCATATATTGCAATTTGAGTTACATTACCGATTTGATGTCTTCAACAAATCTCCAGGGAATATCGGACAGTGGCATTAGGGTTGGTAAAGGTGGTGCTTCCTCTTCTGAATCCAGCTCAAAACCCGGTACAACCGTTTTCAACGTATTAAAGACACCAGTCACAGTCTTGGCGAGAAATCGGTCAAAACGTGGTGCTATCGCGTCTGCTTTCTTGCCTGCGCTGCTGCTCGGGCGGAGAAAGTGACGCAGTTGCGGCGGGCACTCGTTCGCTAATCGTGTACATAACGTTTTCAAGTAGGTCTCGAGTTCGACTCGCCCACCCTCGGGCAACACTAGTTCCGACATGATACTGGCCAAAGATGGAATCTGAAATTTATACGCGAGCGATTACGAATTCGAAGATCGGACGTATTTGTTAATGAAGCGTCATAATTCATGGGCCTCACTTCTTCCAAGCTGAGATGTAGTTGAACGAAATCAGAGTATTGTCTCCTAACGGTAGCGGTGGTGGTTTCAAACAAATCTACTCCGCGTTGCTCTACATCGTCAAATTGTATGCAGTAAAATAATTGTTGCGAGCCGTCCGCTGCGGTATGGAATTCGGTCCATGGAATCAACAGATTCGTGAATTGACTTCCTTCATATATGACGTAGGATTTCTCTTCCGCGTGTCTGAAAGATTTATACGTGCACGTGACAAAACGTTTCGTGAGACTAAAACGTTGTTTCTACTAACAGTGGCGTGGTTGCCGTGGATTTCTGTTGCAACAGATTTCGTAGTCTAGCAATGGTCGTAGCGAAATCGGTCGGTTCTTCGTAAACTGGCGATATTTTATCCTCTTCAAGTTCTAGATCCGCGTCCTCCGTTATGCTACCTCCCCATAGACCTCTGTGCTCTGTGGAGAGGCCTTCCAGACACAGAGTAGGTCTTTCCGGAGCTGCTGGCGAAGCTGCGATCTCGTTTCCGTTAACAGCAGTTGCAGATGGACTAGACTTGGGGAGAGACGTCGGTAATTGTTGCGGAATTACAGCTGCCGTGGCAGACGCGATGCCGTCACTCAGAGCAGCCGTTATAATACCCTGAAAAAGGATATTTATTCAACATATGTTAATTATACATACCTCGATAGTTGTATTATTAGAATATTTATTGACATTTTGTTTGGCTGCAGTAATGACAGCTTCCTCTGAAGGAACTTCCAGTAGCCACAACAAGTTCTCAGTCAGCCAGTTTGGACAGCTTATAGTTTCTATGGTTATCAGGAGCCTCTTTGCTAAAATAGACAGTAGCAGCTTGCATGGTAATGAACTAGTTAACTCCCACTGTAAAAACTCCTGTGCTAGGACAGTGACTAAACGATGCAGCATATGTTCTAACGCCGATGCGCTGCGAGAACCGGGATGTGAATATTTGTATGCTTCCTCTTTGCTAGTTGTAACACCCTTTTCAACTCGGCGCAACGCCCTGTGAAACGCATCAATAAGTGACGAATGCTTAATTGCAAAAGGCAATTCCCTATGAGAACAATATCGATATGCAACCAAGTAGAGAACATTAAGAATCAATACATGGATATTTTCATGCGAAATTTAAACTTTTAATTAAAACTTTTAATTTCGGGGGAATAATGTGTAATAATTATAAGTGTCTAGTTATTCTTCCAAAATTAAAAGTTTTAATTTCGCAGCAATATTCGCGTTAGGCCCTCCTTATTAGCTGTAATAAGCTTCACTGCTTTACTTGGTTGTATAGTTTAATTTATTAAAAATATCGATGTTCGCACCTACGATATTCCTTTAAATGCAATAACAATATATTGACCAGCTTATTGGTAAGTTTAACTTTATCTATTAGACTGACTTTCCAAGCAAGTCGAGTTAAGAACTTGCGTAACAAGTCCTGCGCTTCGTCAGGGAACGACTTATCGTTGCTTATATTCTTGTACCAAATTTCTATACATTTTGCATTGATTTCTTGCGTCATATCTGTTACGTTCGGTCTTTTCCGTTTTGTTAAAGGGACCTCATTCCTATGAAAATCTCTCAAAATTGCATTATTATCAGGCATAACACTAGACTCTTGTGCAGCACTCAAGTTCTCTCCCTGTTCTTCACTATCACTTTTGCAGTCGACTTTGTTATTTTTGCCCTTGTCTACAGAAGCATCCAACTTGAGACGACGCACTAATTTCTTATAGATCCATTTGTTCACAATGCAACATTCTAAATTAACTGGACTATTGGCTTTCAGTGTGAGGCGTAACAAGCAGCAGCTCAGCCATATGGATATAATTGTGATGAACACAGCCCAAGAGATAGAAACATATATGGGTATAGATGTGAGATCTGTCCATGCCTGTACAACTAAAGACAACACAGCAGTTGCTGTACTAAAAACTAGCAGTATTTGGTTTAACCAACTCATTGGTATAACTTTGTCCATCTTGCATATGCTAGTGCTTTTAAGTAGCTACAACTTAAGCGTCACATTTTGTGCTACAGTAATCAGAACCTGTCGAGAAAAGAAACCTTCTTAAACCAAATTTCAGAAGAATAAAAATAAAATGTACACATATTTTTGCTTGGAGAACAGGTATCTTTATTTTAGAATCAGGATATCAGTGTATATGAAGGTGAAGAGAACAATGATACTTAATATGAATAAACATGTATCATGGAACGATACAGATAAATCATTGATATACATATTCCATATTCATACCTCCATCATGATAATTAAGTTACTAAAAATGTTGAGAACTGATACAAAGTGTCTTGAATACCATGAAGTACTTTAAACCAGAGTTGGATGTTTACATGTAAATTATAATACTCTATGTCTATGTATGTAGACAACATAAACTATGTATGAGATGTCATCTATAGACAATGAGTAAACAATGAGTAGTTTATGAGTATTGTTTAAAGAACATGCAGCTTAAACGAAAGTTGATTGAAAGAAGGGTTTATCTTTAAAATCTTTTAATCTCTTTTCTCTCTTTAGAATCTTGTGTAAATTTATAATCATGGTTTTCTAAGCAAATTAGAGTCTACAGAATTCTGTGGTTGCACTTTTATCTTCAAAGTTAAATCTGCCAATCTGTCATAATAAAATAGATATTTCATAAAATTAATTTTTCTTGAACATTAAATTTATAATTAACACTCAAAACAGATATTTAATTACTTTTTTTTTGCTTATTTTAGTATAATTTGCAATATTTAACATAGTTTACATTGTCTACATGAAAAAATACCGTGTATATACATCACGTAGATAATGCATAAACGCGTACGCTTAATTTTGAAATTTACAACACAACTCTCCTTTAAACGCAATCAATTCACATAGCATAAGGTAAACAGATGTGTGCGTATATATACACAGACTGTATGAGTTATGCTTATACAACACGCAACATAATGTCCGAACATTCATTGATAATTCTGGAAACGTACCGCACGTCCATTCTTAATTTCGCAGCTGTTTACATTATCGCCGTTTCTGGCATTTCTTCGTGCGGGATTAACCTCGCCATTACGCGTTCGGATTGATCCGAGTTACGTCACAAAAGTCCCGGGACGCTTGCACTCTGTCATCCGTTACGAGTTCATGTCGCGCAGACTTCTTTCACGTTGATTCGTTTGCGCAGAAAACCTCCATCCGCGTTCTCGTTCTGTCAGGTGACGCGGTCATATATTATGTGTTTATGAGACATCCGGCTGTAATCCATTCCGTTATAAATCGATATATGTACGTCTATAATATCGGTCAAGTTCGTTTTGCATGCTTTCGTGCTGAAAACATCATTTTATTTTTTTTCCTTGGCATGTAATGAACAATAAAGATAGAATAATGTTTTCAGCACGAAGATGTGCAAAACGAATTTAGCCACTATATATTGCGATTCTGCGATCTATCGTTCGTTGTCCATTGCGTCCAGTGTGCAATATGCCCATTAGTGCATTCGTACATATGGATATACCTTAATTTTTGCCATATTTTGGCTGCGTTCACTTTGGGTACTTATGCGCTGTAAGGGTGCGTTCCCATTTATCGCGTCACGCGTCGCGTCGTCCGAGTAAAGCCAATCAAATAGTCCCATTTTATTGCCTAACTTTACGACAAATAAAATAGAACGATTTGATTGGTCTGCGAATGACGACGCGCGCATGACGCGCTAAGTGGGAATGCACCCTGACGCTTACAGCCAATGACGTAATACATAGACCAAGCATTCCTATACTTCTGTTGTAGCAGCGAGTGAAGCCGGAAGTTGGCAATTTAAAACAGACTGAGAAAGTTGATTTGTCCCTAGCTTTCTCATTCTATCGTATAGAAAGAATATGGCCACTGTCAAGTGCTGTATATAGCTGCGTTCCGAAATGCACTGCCAGTACTGAAAATCTATAGTTCATGTTACGTATATTATAGGATTTCAGTACTGGCAGTGAATTTCGGAACGCAGCCTATAATGCAGTGCAGAATTAAAAGAATAAAACCGTATATTTCACTTATCTCGATATAAAATTGATATTTATAATATTTTATGCTGTGTATAAATAATCACAGCAATTGTTCTTATTCTGTTCTCATTCTACTGTCACATGAAAAAAGCTAGGTTGCTATGATGGAATATAGTTCTTGGATAAGATTTAGTTCTGTAAATAGTTCTATTAAGTGCTTCAGAGTGACGAATGGATCAATCACATTATTTTATTTAACGTTTTAAAGTATTTGTAATATTAAACGAACCTTCCTTCTTGACAATCAATAATGTAAAGTGAGAAAGCACTAGGGGCAAATCAACTTTCTCACTCTGTTTTAAACTGCCAACTTCCGGCTTCACTTTACGGACAGAATGCTTGGTCTATGTATATACGTCATTGGGGGAGCACACACTCTTGCATAAAGACATAATGCACACGCATGAGAAAATAGACCAATCAGAATTCTTCATTTTCATCATGGCAATAGAAATGAGAACTCTGATTGGTCAATTTTCTTATAGCATGTTCGACTAACTCTAGGTTATTCAACCTACTAACTCGACTAACTCGACTAATAGCATGTTCGACTGACTCTGGGTTAATCCACATTTATTAGTCGAACAAGTACTTATAAGCTTTATGATTGGCTAGTAAAGACTTATGACGTCATTAATCGCTCTCCTAGCAATTAACCCAGGGCCAGTCGAACACGCTATAACTTAACCCACTCTGGGTTATTCAGTCTACGTTTATTGGTCGAACAAATACTTATAAGTTTTATGATTAGCTAATAGAGACTTATGACATCATTAATCGCTCTCGGAGTGATTAACCCAGTCGAACACGCTATTATGCGTTGTGCATTATGCCTTTATGCAAGAGTGTGTTCCCCGCTTTAAAAGCGGGAGCACGGACTTTTGCATAAAGTACAATACATAAAGGAAAATAAACCAATCAGAGTCCTTCATTTCTATTCGAGGGATAAAAATCAAGACTGTGAATAATTTATCTTTTATACGTTATGTATTATATTGTAATGGCGTTGAGGCATAATTCTTAGAGTTTGGAGCCATTTATTGAAGTTGAAGTTATGTATTATATTTTATGTGCAATAGCTTGCTCTTGTCCTTACCCTGCGTTACTTTTTGACCCCTGAACTGATGTATTATAAAATAATAAGTTAAAAATAATGGGAGGTATAGTGAAGTTTGCCACTAGAGATTAATCTGTAGATACGTGCAAGGCTGCTACGAAGAGGAGACTTGAGTAATTTTTTTCGGTTTCTCTCGCTAATTTTTATACTTGTTAATAAACATTTTCTGGTATTTTACAGAGATTTAGTGTATTTTTCGTGTAGTTACAATAGACCTGTTCTTTGTAGCTGCACTGCTGAACTGGTGCAATATATTGAAGTGAAACAAATATAAGTTTTCTCACTCTAACTTATTGCACTAGTTCAGCAGTGCAGCTATAAAGAACAGGCCTAATATATCTCGATACTTTTATAACATATTCTTTCAAGATATAATGCTCATAAAGTGATGAAGTAAAAATAGCCGAGATAGACTGTGACACCCCAGGTAGCAAGGTGACGTCTAAAGACGTCATTAAGACGTCATAGACGTCTTAATAACGTCTTAATGACGTCTTTAGACGTCACTTTGCTACCTGGGACCTTTCATTAGTTTCTATTTTATCATTATTGATTTATATTAACTTGAACGATATATGATCTAAGCTAATGATACTTTCCTTTTCATTTAGGTGACAAGATCAATTCGAGATCAATAATCAAAACACATCCTCCTTTCTACTAACCTGTTTGACCGCTTACCTGCTTACCTACCAGCCCACCGGTATGTGCACGATCGTGCTCCCAATTTTAGCGCTCAAGACGCGAGAGAAATCCCTCAAGAGCATTGAAGGTAAAGACTTCAGAGAGCTTGTGGCTGGGCTACGCAGCTACTCTAGGAGCGGCTCTATTTTTGCTATTTCTTAATCTGTATCGCGTATTTTTGCCTCCCCCTCCTATTGAGTTACGTGCACCCCAGTGAAAGGGTAGTGGCATACACGTGGCTGACACATGGCCGCATGCCAAATATAACGAACGCGGGGAAGCTGCCGCTTGAAATACACAGCTGTTGGCCGTACATGGTCTAATGCAACTTCGGAGCTAGTATACACATTGTGTATATTTGGCTCTGTTTATAGAAATCTTTGAAGAGGTTTCTTCCATACTGGATCATTCCCAGAAAACACAATCTTTCAAAGATGTTCCAAACACATCCTGAGGACTTCTAAATGTCCATATAAATTCCCAGGATATCCTAAAGATATGACTTCTAAAGACTTCTAAATGTCTGTATAAGTCTCCAGGATATCCCTTGAAGGTCTTGTTGCTTTTTGAGTTATGATCTTAGATCATTTGTTTAGTATTTTTCTGCATCTCTTACATTTAATAAAGTAAAATTGTTGTACAGACAATTGATATCTAAGAAAGTTGATTGAAATGATTTACTGCGCCATTTGCTCATTGCATGTGTGAAATTGAAATTCTCAATTATAGCAATGGTCGCGTATATTGGGTGGCAACTTCCTTTCTTAAAGTCACAGCTGATTCGTATCCTTAAGTGGTAAGCCGCCACGATAAAATGTAAAGGATTATACAATATATATTATATGTAGTTATTATATAATATACAGTTTTATTACCATATTATCATTAATCATAAGGTATAATAAGAAGAACGATTCGTCGGACAGCAATATGAGCCGACATCGCAGTGGCCGGTATGGACGATCGTATTCCTCGTTATTGTTGCTGTTTTTGTTCGATTACCATCTTGTAGGCATCATGGATGCCAAACTTACGCGATCATCAGCGAGCGAGCACGTGTCATGTGTCTATAATATAGACGTATGGATTCCGTATAGGTGTTTGTGTGTGTACGTGTACACGATAGTTGCACATCATTGGGTTGAGAAGAACTCGTTGTTCAGAGGTCAAGGAGACTATCAATAAATTAGTTATATGTTCATAAACAAACGTGTTGTATAAACTACAAATTACAGTACAGTCTGGTAAATGTGTAGCATAAAAGCACTTAGGTAATCTTTTTTTTTTTTTACTTTTGCGATCCTCTTTCTCATATTCCTATCTCCTTTCTCCCTTTCTCTCTCTCTCTCTCTTCTCATCTTCCTTTCTTACTATCTCTCTCTTCCTTCCCTCTCTTTTCGCGTCTATGTATCTCGTGAGGAATATGATATAACTTAAAATACGGCCGTATGCGTGGAAAAGGAGACAATCGACGAAGAGAAAGAAAAGAGTTGCGGCGGTGACGCTGTTTAATCTTTGGCAATGCGTGCTTAGAAGCATTTGCGGTGGACAATGCCGGGGCCGGATTCGTCGTACTCCTGTTTGGAGATCCACATCTGTTGGAAGGTGGACAGGGAGGCCAGGATGGAACCGCCGATCCATACGGAGTATTTCCTCTCGGGAGGAGCGATGATCTTGATCTTGATGGTCGAGGGTGCGAGGGCAGTGATTTCCTTCTGCATACGATCGGCGATACCAGGGTACATGGTGGTACCACCAGAGAGGACGGTGTTGGCGTAAAGGTCCTTACGGATGTCGACGTCACATTTCATGATCGAGTTGTAGACAGTTTCGTGAATACCGCAAGACTCCATACCCAGGAAGGAAGGCTGGAAGAGAGCTTCGGGACAGCGGAACCTCTCGTTGCCGATGGTGATGACTTGACCATCGGGCAACTCGTAGCTCTTCTCGAGAGAGGTGCTGGCAGCGGCGGTAGCCATTTCCTGTTCGAAGTCCAGGGCGACATAGCAAAGTTTCTCCTTGATATCGCGGACGATTTCTCGCTCAGCCGTGGTGGTGAAGCTGTAGCCTCTCTCAGTGAGGATTTTCATGAGGTAGTCGGTAAGATCGCGACCGGCTAAGTCCAAACGGAGGATAGCATGGGGAAGAGCGTAACCTTCATAGATGGGTACGGTGTGGGATACACCATCGCCGGAGTCCAAGACGATACCGGTGGTACGACCGGAAGCGTACAGAGAGAGTACGGCCTGGATGGCGACGTACATGGCCGGGCTGTTGAAGGTTTCGAACATGATCTGTGTCATCTTTTCACGGTTAGCTTTGGGGTTCAGTGGTGCCTCGGTGAGAAGGACCGGGTGTTCTTCAGGAGCCACACGCAATTCATTGTAGAAAGTATGATGCCAGATCTTTTCCATGTCGTCCCAGTTGGTGATAATACCGTGTTCGATAGGATACTTCAGAGTCAATATACCTCTCTTACTTTGCGCCTCGTCACCCACGTAGCTATCTTTTTGACCCATACCGACCATCACACCCTGTAGAAGAACGAGGTATTATCTGACGTTACGTAAGCACGTCATTATGCTTAAAACTCTTGGCTTCTCGCCGCGGAACTCTTAATTGAAAACGTTAGAAGCGGGAATATATATGCTAAAAATTCTTGCAAAATACTTTGAAGTAAACAGATGTACTTATAAAATGATACTTGCTATCGATACAGTAGCTTTATGAAATAGTACGAATATTTGTCTTTTGTTTGAGCGATTAATAAACAAAAATTAATGTGATCTGCAACCTTCTTTTGTAACTTACCTTCTCTCATAATCCTGTCATCTTAATTTTACGAGTTTATTCGATTTGATTGCATTTTTTTTATTACATTATTTGGATATATTATTTCCACATGTTTTATAAGAATTTTAATATATTTTCTTGTATGTATTTTTTAGTTTCTGCCACTGTATATCAAGATAGTAGCGGCGAAAGAGCAAAAGTCTTGAGCCAGGAAATTCGCGATACCAACCTGATGACGTGGGCGGCCGACGATGCTGGGGAACACGGCGCGCGGTGCATCGTCTCCCGCAAATCCGGCCTTGCACATACCGGACCCATTGTCCACGACTAGTGCCGCAACATCATCGTCACACATCTTGATCGGCTGTTAGTGTTACTTTCTGCGAATACACCGGGAAATGTAGAGAAATATAGAAAAATATTGCACAGCATAGTCTATGCCGAAATAAAGTCTTCGTTAACCCCTTCACACTTAAATGGCGAATATTCTCGTCACCGGTGAAGTGAAGGGGTTAGTAAGTGTAAATTAGTCGTAGTTAATTAATCGTAATCTATACAAGTTAATTCACCAAAAGAGCAAATTATCTTTCGTTTTAGATTTAGAAATACGAGAAAAGTATTTAACACAGTGTTGCACGTTCACCAGATATCACTTCATGTATTATCCGATTACGCAAACCTCTCGAATGGCTCGCTTCGCACAGTTCTCTTCAAGGATATTCAGAGAATACCATCCAATCGGTCCCGGTTAAGCTTCCCACCACCTTCGAATATACCTGAGATCCCACTCAGTTTCAACTTAGCACTGTTTGTTTTAGGCACTGTTGAGGATCTTGTGATTTTCGGTACCAAGAATCATCGGCGATCGTGAAACGTAGAAGACCGATCAGACGGTATCCCCAAAGGCAACGGTGCGCGCGAACCCCGAGAGGGTTGCTGTGATCCGTACGGCTGATTATTAACGAGACACGAGAGTTGCAGCAGCGATCGCAAGTACGATGATTTACCGTACGCTGATGTGATAGCCGAGAGTGAGATCGGCGGACGGTCGCTGAGGGTCGCGTAACGTCGTGCGATAGACCGGTGAGAGCGGCGAGTGGCGCAGTGCCGGCTCCGCGGGGTCCCTTTATCCATATCGGTCCGCCGCCAAAAATAGCGGTCCGCCCCTTACATGGAAATCTGCCGTCCGCGTTAACGGACGTCGGGCCGCGAGCCCGCAGCCCCAGAGAATCAGCCTAGTCCTACCCTCGCCCTAAAGAGACGTAGTAGAGGGAGAGAGGACACCGGCGGTGGCGGCGGTGGTGACGATGACGACAATGACGACGACGACGACAACAACGACAACGCGGTGGCCGACAGCCCCCAGGTCCAAATAAGGATTCGTTACGTACCAGGGCCGTCAATTGTGTTCCGGTTCCCGTGGGTCTTCGACGGAGGGATGGATCTGAAGGAGTTTCGAGGGATAGGACTGGGATGAGTTAAGAATGAATAGACGAGGATGGAAACTCGATGAACATAGCGTAAGTTTGGAAGAGCGAATTTAAGTGAGTCTCGATCGCTTAAGAATCCTCGAAAGGTCCAAGCTCGAAGAAGGGGTGAACTCTGAAGGATCAATCCTTCAAGTATTGAAGAATTAAACTTCGGAATTTTTCGAAGTTACTTAGTTTCGAGAGAGCACACTTTGAAGAATTCATTATCGAAGAAATTCAGCCGCATAATTCAAACTTGAGAACATCAAAAGACCAACTGATTGAAATGGTGAACGGCGAATCCTGAATGCGACGTCCACGACTCACTCTATGTTCTCCAAGCAAGATTGCGTTCATGTGACGTAAGATAAATCATCCCCTGCAATAATAACGGATTTACATGATTTGTTTATTTTCTGTAAAGTGGATGCTTTCATCCTTCATTAGTTATTATCCTTAAATAGCACAAAGGTATTCATCAGATTCTGACCCAGAACGCTGCCAAGAATAATAACTCGTGCTCTTGACACGAATTATTATTAATACTGATAGTAAAAATCGGAGATGCGTTTATGAGATATCAGGGCTAATATAGATGGACATTAATCTTGATGTCTCATAATCGCGAATGATGAAACAATTGACGAAATCGGCCTTTTAACATATTTAATCATTTCTCCTAAATTGAAATTTATTTTTAAAATTAATAAGAGAAAGAAAGATAGAGATTTGTTGGTGCAGCTAGCGAACAAAACGGCTTTATTCGCTAATTGCAGCCCGCAGTTTGCTATAATTGGCAGGTGGACGGGGCGACCGACTAGCTCACGTCATCGTAAAGATCCCCACTACCTTTTTACCTCACCGGCAAAGCCGGTGCTCGTGCTGATTCGCATTGCAGAGTTTCAACCCCGAAAGGGCGCATCCTTTGTCGTCGACGTATCTGTCGCTCGGCCTCGGCGTTTCGGTTGCAACAATCACAAGAACAGCTTCGACATGAGTGCAGACAAGCGTCCAGACGTGCATACCAAGGAGGATACTGAAGGTAAATGTCCGCATTTTTTATTTCAAGTAATTGAAAGAGAATCCCGGAAAAATATCAATTAGAAAAGCTGCTGTTATCCAATGAACATTGAATAACAGTAGCATTACATCAATGTTATAAATTTTGCGATTCAACAAGTTGCAATATGACACATGTTATATGTAACAGTTATGTGTTGAGTGGAAAATTATAACATTGATATAATATTATTGTTACTTAGCGTTTATTGAGCATTGACTGGGAAAATGTAAAATCTCATGTTTGTCCGCGAAATTAATTTCATATCTATTTTTTATTTAGCTAGATATGTAAAAATTTATTACTGACTTAATCAAAGACTCATTCAGCAATTATTATATTAGATATGGAAATAATGTCTATATTGTTAAACTGTACGAATGCATTCATTTAGTTTCAAATGAAATATGTTAACTTGTTTAACGTAATTATCACCTTTCCCTAGTAACTTTTTATTCACCACCCACTTTTCATCGCGAATGGCAATGTTAGTCCCGATGTAAATTTTACTGTAGCTATTATTATGGTCTTTCTGCTAAAAAAAATATTTATCTTTACAAACAGAATGTACTCAAACTTGGAATACTGCCACATACTCATGACATTCTCATGTTCGTGTTTTAGGTATTATATGGGATATTATCATATTTGTAAATATGTGTGTAAATATGACTAATGCACGCTTTTTTATTTAAATTTATATTACATAAATTAAATTAACAGGTATCAAATGGAATGACTTTGGGAGGCAAAGCAGATTTGGATATCATTCTGTTGCCAAAATATCAACAAACCATTTCCTGAGGGACAAGTTTGGATGAACATATGGACGAAATAAGATTAAACTCGACGCCCTTATTCTATGACCGACTTGGTACTACACCACAGAAAACCAGCGATTTAAATGTGTGGTAATTTCAATTAAAATATATAACACAAAATTTCTTTTTATGCATGCTTTTTGAATGATTGCGGAGAAATTATGTGTAAGTTCGAACGTTTTATAAAATGCTTTTCACGCACAAGCATAACTTAATCTGTTGTTTATCTCATTAAACATCAACGCGAAACAAACTTTTGATACTCAATTTTAATGAGTAGATTTTTGTAGGAAATTTCTTTTATTAGATAATTAGTTTCCGATTGTTCTCTGCCCATATCTTTCTTTTACCCGCATTTAAAAACATTCCATATGATAGTTCAAAATACAATTTACATGACATCAATGTAAAATAAGCGTGCACTTCCATATTTGTCATAGCTTTTATATCAATAGAAAATTTTAATATCATGCCATTTAGGATAAATTTTATACACACGATTTTTTAATACTCAATTATTATTTATTTGGATGTAAAATTTATATAATCTGTTGCCATCAAACCGATTAATATATTAATTATCAATTGAGACGCGAAGTATACAATTCTTTAAGTATTGATCAGTATAAACTATTGATCCAATCAAATATTACGACTTGGTACACGTCCAAATATAAGGGTATCAAAGAATGAAGTATTACGAATTAAAACCGCTGTAAGAATATAAGATTGATTTATTCCATAGACGTAAACTTATATATACAAAAGATGACGTATATACTCGTATGATGGTCGTAAAAGACTCGCCGCCACGGACCAATAGTAACGATAGTAATATTCGACTAACGGAGACCCAACTAGACGAAGCGATGCGGCAGTGAACGGTACATCTTAGGGAAAGGTGTAGCAATAATAACAATAATAATAATGAATAGCATCGAGCGTAACTGCTTAGAAGCACTTGCGGTGGACGATGCCGGGGCCGGACTCGTCGTACTCCTGCTTGGAGATCCACATCTGTTGGAAGGTAGACAGGGAAGCCAAGATGGAACCACCGATCCATACGGAGTACTTCCTCTCGGGAGGAGCGATGATCTTGATCTTGATAGTCGAGGGTGCGAGGGCAGTGATTTCCTTCTGCATACGATCGGCGATACCAGGGTACATGGTGGTGCCACCAGAGAGGACGTTGTTGGCGTAGAGATCCTTACGGATATCGACGTCGCACTTCATGATCGAGTTGTAGACGGTCTCGTGGATACCGCAAGATTCCATACCCAAGAAGGAAGGCTGGAAGAGAGCCTCAGGTGTGCGGAACCTCTCGTTACCAATGGTGATGACCTGACCATCAGGCAACTCATAGCTCTTCTCGAGAGAGGTGCTGGCAGCGGCGGTG